AAGGGCAACCAGACCGTGTGCAGTATTTCAGAAGTGGCTTCACAACTGTCCTTGATTTGGCTAAACTTCCCAGGACCTTACCATTAACTGTACAAGTCCTGCCCTGATTTGCCTTACCAAAATGCAACACTTCACATTTATCTAAATTAAACCCCATCTGATCAAGGTCCCATTGTGCTCTGACATAATCTTCTTCACTGTCCGTGACACCACCAATATTGATGTCATCTGCAAACTTAGGAACCATACCTCCCATATTCACATCCAAATTCTTTATATAAATGACAAAAAGCAGTGGACCCAGCGCCGATCCTTGTTGCACACCACTGGTCACAGCCTCCATTCTGAAAAATAACCTTCCACCATGACCTTCTGTCTCCTATTTTCAAGCCAATTTCTTATCCAGTTGCCTAGCTCCCCCTGGATCCCATAACATTGGAACCTTGTCACACACTTTGCTGAAATCCATGTAGACAACATCTACTGCTCTGGCTTCATCAGTCATTTGGTTATCTCTTCAAAAAACTCAATCAAGTGAGTGAGACATGATTTCCCATGCACAAAACCATGCTGACAATCCCTAATCAGTCCTTGCCTTTCCAAATGAGCCTAAATCCTGTCTCTCAGAATCCCCTCTAACAATATCCCCACTACTGACATAAAGTCACCAGTCTGTAGTTTGGATTTTCCTTACAGTCTTTCTGAAACAATGGCACCACATTAGCCAACCTCGAGTCTCCTGGCATCTCATCTGTGGCTATCAATGGTACAAATATCTCAGCAAGGGGCCCAGCAATCTTGTCCCGAGTTTCCCCACAAAGTTCAGGGAGACACCTGATCAGATTCTGGCAATTTATCTATGTGCATTTTAAGATGCCCAGTACCACCACCTATGCTGTAATATGAATTATTTTCATGACATCATGATTTATTTCCCGAAGTTCCCAACTTCTCTGTCTTTCTCCACAGTAAATACTGATTCAAAATATTAGTTTAGGATTTCACTCATCTCCTGTGGTTCCACACGCAGATGGCCTTGTTGATCTTCAAGGGGCCCTATTCTCTCCCTAGTTACTCATTTGCCCTTTAATGTATTTATAGAATCTCTTTTGGATTCTCCTTAATTCTGTTTGCCAAAGCTATTTTGCATCTCCTGTTTGCCCTCCTGGTTTCTCTCAAGTATATTCCTACTGCCCCTTTATACTCTTCTAGGGATTCAATCAATCCCAGCTGTCTGTACCTGACATATGCCTCCTCCCTTTTATTGCCCATAGCCTCAATTTCTTCAGTCATCTAGCATTTTTTACAGCTATCAACCTTGCCCTTCACACTAGCAGGAACATACCGTCTCTGAATTATGTATCTTATTTTAAAGGACCCCCCCTCCCCCAACCTTTACCCGCAAATAGCCTCCCCCAATCCACTTTTGAAAGTTCCTGTCCAATACCATCAAAATTGCCCTCCCTCCAATTTTTAGAAATTTAACTCTGATCAGTTCCATCCTTTTCTATAAGTATTTTAATATGAATAGAATTATGGTCACTGGCCCCAAAGTGCTCCCCCACTGACACCTCAGGCACTTGCTCTGCTGCATTTCCCAGCAGAAGATAAAGTATTGCTCCATTTCTGGTAGGTACATCCACATGTTAAATAACAGAGTTTTATTGTACATGCTTACAAATTCTTCACTGTCTAAGCTCTAACCACTATGATGGTCCTAGTCTACATTTGGAAAGTTAAATCCCCTACCATTACAACCCTATTGTTCTTAAAGATATGAGATCTTACATTTTTGCTTCTCAATTTCCTGCTGGCCATTGGCAGGGCCTATGATGCAATCCCAATGAGGTGATCATTCCCTCTCTCATTTTTAAGTTTGACCCAAATAACTTCAGTGGACGATCTCCTGTGAACATTCTCCCTAACTAAAAGCACCACTCCCCACTTCTCTTTGCTCCCTTTCTATCCTTTCTGCAGCATCTATACCATGGAACATCAAGCTGCCAGTCCTATCCATGCCTGAGCCATGTTTCTGTAATAGCTATGATATCCCAGTCCCATGTTCCCAACCATGCCCTAAGTTCATCTACCTTAGTTGTCAGGCCACTTGCATTGAAGTAAATGCAGTTCAGTTTATCGGTCTTTCTTTGTGTTTTTGCCAAGCTCTTGTCTGCTTTGATTATTAGACTTGCTCCCCTTATCTCCTGTACCAGTCTTTTTCTTTCTCGCTATCACTTTTTGGTCTCTTTTCTCCCCCCGCACCCAGCTTACTAGTTTAAAGCCTCCCGAGAGAGAGACACAAATCCGAGGCTGAAGAGTACATGGGCACATCAAGAAATAGAAAAAGAGATGGAGGATAAAATAGAGATGGGAAGGAATTTGGAAAACAAGAAAAATTTAAATACCGACAGAGAACCTCAAAATAAATAGTGAAAAAGTGCATTAACTTGATTAAAGGAATTTTTAAAAGTTTTTTTTGCACTAAATAGAATTCTCTTAGAATTTTTACCCAGATTCTATAATTAAATGCTGATAAATAATCATAACCTGTTCATACATTAGCTTAATGTGCCAACCATTTGCATGTGAAGCTAACAGGTCAGGTTACATTTCAGCATTTTTTTCCTGATAAAGCAGGTCAACTGGAAGGTGGGCCTTGAGCCTTCCAGTGAGATTCACTAGAGTGTACACAATTATTTAGGATGATATATCTGTTATTGAAAACAGTGACAAATGAAGGAAGAGGTGAGAAACAGAACTACGTTCCTCTTTTCATGCTGTTAACTTTGTAATGGGAGTGAAATAAGTTATTGCAGTAAAGACCGCACCATGGGAGATATGGAAATGAGCTGTGGCTACAGGACCACCGAGGAATACAGCAGACGCTAGGTGAGCTCTGTTGGCTCACCGGCTGGTTTGCAGTGCAGAGTCATGTCAGTAGCATGGTTGTTGAGGGTAGGTAGCAGGAAGACTGGATGCTAACATTCCAGAGACAATCTTAATAAGTTCCTGTTCCATGATTCCCACAGTCTTGCCTTGGGACCAACTTTCAAGGCTTTTGCTCAACCTGTCCAGTGATATCTCATTTCCGGCCACTGCAGGTACAAAGAAGCCCAAAGTTCTATTGAGCTTCCATTTTTTGCAGTTTGACATTCCATGCCAGATGCAAATGATGTAATGGCTGTTCATAAGTTTCTATTGTAGTACTTTGTACCTTGAAAGCTATAGTGATCGCAATGAAAGTAGCAAACTCAGTTATCAGACATCTCATGATGTCTGGTACCTAGATTGCTGCTGGCTGGATTTGATCAGTCTTTCCATAATGGAGAGAGGATTCCAGGCTCTGCATCAAGCCACAGATCGGAGATGGATTCCTGTATTTGCCTAGGAATGACCCACAAGCATTCAGGTGATCTATCCGTCATATGTGGCACAAGGTTTGCTGCAACTATCCGCCTCATTCAGGTGCTTGGTCCTGCAGAGCTCTCCACTGACTCCATGCAGCAAAACTAATTGTTCCCCAGAAAGGCGGCATCTGTGACATTTCGTCCACCCTTCATCATTGCAGCCCAATGGTGTCCAGTGTCTCATTCTGAGACCTGTCCTGGCCTTTATAGTCTGGTACTGTGTCTTATGTGTGAACATAAAACACAGTCGGTATGTCAATGATTTTAATAGCCTACCAGCTCTAATTATATGTTGTATTAGTCTCTGAGCTGGTATCTGTAATAACAGTACCCATTGATGCAGTGCATTTATCCTTGTTCTCCTCATCTACGCAGATTGCAAGGGGGTGAGAGGTGGCTGTGTTCATCTTGCATTTGTTCCTGGGGTGAAGTGGATTTTCTCCCAGGAACCAGCAATGAAAATGCTCCAAGGGTTGTGCTGCAGTGCATGGAACCAACGTAGCGTGACCATGTGTGTAATGAGACTATATTAGCATCTGGAAGTGAAGATAACCCTCTCCCATAAAGCTATTTGTGTACCTGTGACCAGCTATAATGAAAATAACATCTGCTTTGCCTTTGGCTACAGCATTTCTTATTTGTGCTGTAACTTGTTAAGTTTATCTTTATCTTTTACCTGGAAGAGAGAACTTGAAGGCAGGGCATTTGTATGTGATGCCTCACATGGTTGAAGAGCTGTGTGATGCTTCAGGGGTGAGATTATGCCTATGAGGAATGCAATGATGTGAATGGCAGTCTACAACTCGATGTGGGATGTCTTGAACTTGTGATAGTGCAGTTATTGAGAAATGTGTTTGTGAGACGGGATCTTACCTTGAACACTTGTCAAGTCATTAAGTTTCTTGTGATAGTTCTAGGGTGAGGACTCCTGAAAGTCATGTTAACCCTATCCCCTCAATTGGGTATCATTATTTTTCTGTTTCTATGATCTCCATCTATCCTGCGGATAGAGGTCACTTCCACCTCTACCTTCTCCACAAGGACATTCTGTATCAAGTAAGAAAATCGGGACACCCTGTCTCACTTGAGAGATTCTTCTATATTGGCCTCCCATGCAACAAATGAAATCCACATCATCTTTGAGTGCAGGCTACATATATATCAGGAAGGTTTGAGTCTAATCCCTACTTCAGTGACATTGTTAGGGAAATTTTCAACAACACAATAGAAAGCTGACTTACCTTTTGTCAGAATAACTCGAATGTAATGGATTGAGGTAAACGTTGATTGACTCATTACATAACGAAGTAGCAGCAGAAATCAGATATATTTATAAGTTGTAACGCAATCCTAAGCTTTAGTGTTCAGGTATGAAATGTGACAGTTTGGCGGTTTTGAAGAAGTATAAGTGCACTCCAGATGCTAATGCTTGTTACCATGTGCACAGTTGGTCCCAGACCTCCTGAGCTTCTCCAGCATTTTCTGTTATTCTGGCAGCACTACTTTCATTCTCAGGATTCTCAAATGGATACTATTGTATATAAATCATATTGTTCAGGTTTTTAGTTATTTCCTAAAATTATTTTTGAGCAGGTCACCTAAAGGAGACTTGAAGGTGGCATTGGATGAATGTGTGGCAGCCCTGGACCTATTTCTTAGCAACAGATTTGAAGATGCTCTAACTAAACTTCAGTCCAGGTGAGTAATGATTATAGCTTTGATCAAATTATTTACCTAAATTGTTTTATTAAAAACCCCTGAAAAGTTAAGTTCCCCAATATCTCATGCAGCATTCGTGAAGTGTGTTGACCAGTCTGTGATTCAGTCATGTACAATGTGACAGTAACAGCAGTGTAAATTTATATAGCATAGCAAAACATTGAAAGGCATTTCACAAGTGCTATCAAAAAGGATTAGATACCCAGCTCATAAAAACGCATTGGGATGGGTGACCAGTTGCTTGACAGAAGTAGTTATTAATGAGTCTTTAAAGGGGAAAAGACAGAAACTTGAGGAGAAGATGTGGGGAGGGGTTCCCTGGCAGGTGAAGGCACTGTTGTGGATGATGTAAAGATTTAAATTGGGAGACGTCTCTCAAGCCAGAGCTGGAGGAGCTGACTAATGTTTAAAGGATTGTAGGATTAGAGAAGTTTATAGCAGCAGTGATGAGGCCACAGAAAGATTTGAAAGCAAGTATGAGCATTTTAAAATTGAGAGATTACTGGTTCAGAAACCAATATAGGGAAACTACCAACAAGGGATCCTGGCAGAGATATTTAATACTTTGCTGGCCACAGGTCAAGTGCCAGATGACTGGAGGAAAGCTAACGTGGTTCCTTCCCTTCAGGAAGGGCAACAGGCATAGGCCAAGTAATTTCAAATCAGTTTGTCTGATGTCAGTGGTAGAGAAATCATTGAAAAAAAAATTCTCAAGGACAGGACTAATCAACATTTGGAAAGGCAGGGATTGACCAAAGATACTTTGCATGGATTTGTTAGAGGGAAATCCTGTCTGTCAAATTTTTGAGTTTTTGTGAAGGTGGCTAAATACATTAATGGTAGTGTGTTTACGTGGTGTACATGGATTTCAGTAAGGCCTTTGACAAGGTTCCCAATAGAAGGCTGGTCAAAAAGGTAACAGTCCATGGGCTCCAAAATTTGCTTGTAAATAGGAAGCCAAGGGTGACAGTGGAGGGTCGTTCTCGTAATTTGGAAGCCTGTGACCAGTGGTGTAGCACGGGAATCGGTGCTGGGACCCTGCTGTTTGACAGGCAAATCATTAATGTACGTAACAGTCTAAAAGGTATTGTGTAAGTTTGCAGATGATGTGAAATTTGGTGGTGAGCAGAATGATGTCTGACTGTAGTCCGAGACCAATCGGTTGGTAAATTAGACAGAGTGGTGTCAGGTGAAATTTAATCCCGATAAGTTTGAGGTGGTGCATTTTGGGAGGCCTAGTAGGAAAAGAGTTTAGACAATGAATGGTAGATCCCTAGGGAATAATGAGGAACAAGGGGACCTGGGTTTACAAGTCCATAGACTCTGAAAGTATCAGCACATATAGACAGACAGGGTGGTGAAGAATTAGCCAGAGCGTAGAATATAGGAGCAAGGAAATCTTTTTCCAGTTTTATAAAACATTGGTTAAGTCACAGATGAAATACTGCATGCAGACCTGGTTGCTACACTCTTGGAAGGACCTAATTTGTACTGGAGAGGGTGTAGAAGAGATTCAACAGGATACTACCTGAGATGAAAAGTCCTCATTATGAGGATAAACTAGATAAGCTGGGTTTGTTTTTCTTCGAGCAGAGGAGGCTGAAGGGGGTTCCAGTTGAGGTACACAAAATTATGAGAAGTGTAGCCAGAGTAGATCATGAGAATATCTTCCCCATGGCAGACATGTCTAAGACCAGAGGGCATAGGTTTGAGATGAAGAATAAGTAGTTTAGAGGAGATCTAAGAAAAATAAATGCAACAAAACAGTAATAGAAACATGGAACGTGCTGCATGAGAGGGTGGTGGAGGCGGGTACTCGCAACATTTAAGAAGCATCTGGATGAGCGCTTAAAATTCCAGGGCACGGTACCCTATGGACCAGGTTAAGGTACATGGGATTCGTGCCCTTGACACAGCATAAAATGGCCCTTCCCAAAGTCTCACATCACATCTAGCTATGATCTTAACTTCTTAAGAACTAATTTTGGCTCAATATGAAGATTACACCAAGCTCATAGAAACATGGAAAATACGGAGCAGGAGCAGGTAATTTGAGCCTTCAAGCCTGCTCTGTTTTTCCTTCCATATCTTTGATCTCTCCAGCCCCAAGTGCAATATCCAACTCCTTCCTGAAATCATACAATGTTTTGGCCTCAACTGTTTTGTGTGGTAGTGAATTTCATAGGCTCACCACTTTCTCAGTAAAGAAGTTTCCCCTTGTCTCATTTCACATGGTGTATCCCGTATCCTCAAACTTCTACCCCTGGCTGCAGACACCCCCAACATTGGCGACATCCTCCATGCGTCTAACCTGTATTGTCAATTTAAAATTCTGAAGGTTTCTGTGAAATTGCTCCTGATTCTTCTGAACTCCAGGCAATATAATCCTAACTGATTCAATCTGTCCTCCTACATCAGTCCAGCAATCCCAGGAATCAGTCTGGCAAACCTTCACTGCACTTCCTTTATAGCAACAATGCTTTCCTCAGATAAGGAGATCAACACTGCACACAGTATTCCAAGTGTGGTCTTAGCGTGACCCTGAATAATTGCAGCAAGACATCCTTGTTCCTGTGCTTGAATCCTCTCATTGCAAAGGCCAACATACCATTTGTCTGCTCTACTGCCTGTTGCACCTGCATGTTTACCTTCAGCGACTGGTGTATAGGGTCACCCATGTCACCTTGCACATTTCCCCCCTCTCAATTTATAGTCATTCAGATAATAATCTACTTACCTGTTTTTGCTACCATTATGCAGCATCCTCATGCATCGGCCCACTCACTCAGCTTGTGCAAATCACACTAATTTCTATGCATTTTACTCACAGCTCACCCTCTCACCCAGCTTTGTATCATCTGGAGATATTACAATTTATACAGAAGAATCAGTTTCTTTGGTTATTTTCTTGGGCATATGGGAGAGTCAAGCTGATTTAATTGAAGCGTACAATTCTGGGGGACAGAGAGAGAGATATGGGAAAGGTTAGGAACTACCCAATACCCATGGCAGAGAGGTGAATAATCAGAATGTAAATTTGAAGTAAAGATATCAAAGAAGTTGAGCAATATTTTTCATTGAGGATGATCTGGGTTCGCTGCTGGAAAGGCTGAAACGCTTGCCTCATTTTATAAAAAAAAAAAAAAAAAAAAAGCTGAATATGGGATTGAAGTGTTGTAACTTGCAGGGCTATGATCTAAGAGCTTGGAAATAGCTGTTTATGAAAGGCTGAATGGCCTGCTTCCATGCCAGAAATCTTGTAACCCAACGTATCTATCGTTGCAGAGAGACAGCAGGCCGAGGAGCAGGAAGGCTGACGTTTCGGGCCGAGACCCTCCTTCAGAAGAAGGGTCTAGGCCCGAAACGTCAGCTTTCCTGCTCCTCTGATGCTGCTTGGCCTGCTGTGTTCATCCAGCTCTACACCTTGTTATCTCAGATTCTCCAGCATCTGCAGTTCCTACTATCTTTATCTATCGTTGCACTCTGGAATGCATGTTACATTAAGGTACTTGTTACAGATTGAGGTTTCACTGCATTCTTCACATTTGTTTTGTAGCCTGCTTTGGTTCACTTAAGGGTGGAGATAGCTGTTATTATTGTTGAGTTCTATTTTGTCACGAGGCTGGGCGAGTGAATGATTTACCAATTCTAATTCCAGTCTCGTTCAATCATTTTGCCTGGCTGCATAAACAGAACATTTCCTGTAATAACCAAGATTCACTTCTCAAGGATAGTTGGTGACGGCAACAAATGATGGACATGCTCAGGAGGCTTGCATTGCATGTACAAGTTAAAAGAAAATGAATGTATTGCCATATCCAATATGAAACAAGAAGCTTCATCCTTTTCAAAAAACTTGAATTTCCACCATAGATAGTACTTTACAGTATATGCTCTAACGTTTGTCAGACTGACTTGGTATTTGAAAACCTATTTTTCAAATTTTTGTCCAACTCCCAGAAAAATAGACTTGGAATATGTATAGGAAGCTGGAATTTGTTGTGGTGTAACATTGCAGTGTTAATCAAGAAGCCTTTGAATGTCTACTGAAGTGACAATTGCAGGAGCCTGCTTGAAATCTCTTTCTATCTTTTTTAGTTAATTTAAAATCAGTTAAAATGTCTAAAACAGTATATTACAAGCTAAAACAAACAATAGAGAGGAACATTTGGACAAGGTTTTTAAAACGTATAGAATATATTAAGGTACATCGATGGAAATAACAATCATACACAGTTGTGTAATTGTTAATGATTGTGTATTGAAGGGTGTGCTAGCCTCTCTCTGAATGGTGTATTCTGGGAACTTGCACTTAAGACTTTGAAATACTAGCGTAGGTATTTAAGTAGGAAGTGTAATATTGATTCAGCATCATATTGCAGAAAGCACCCTACATTACTATTGATTTTTGCTGAGGTATGCTAGCCCCAATATGATCATCATTGTTAGACTATATCCTACCATAAGTTTACTTTGTGAGTTGTCTGCCTATTGACAGTTATCCCTACCAATCAAGAAGTAACTGTCAAAGAAATAGTATCTGTTGCACAGAAATAATAATCGAGGCAATAGGACTAATTGAAGTTATTGGTAAAATAAATTTATGATCAGATTATTTGTCAAGTTGTAAATCCGTCGTTTTGTTAGCTATGTTAAGAGTTTGCTCTCCTGCAAAGATCTACAATGTAAACAATAACATTTCGGAAGGAGGAGAGATCTGGAATGTTTTTGTTCATTAAAGATGGGAGAATGAAAAAGAAACGGTGCAACTAACTTCATCAGTCAGATCAACCAGATTTCGTTGAATAGTGGAATGGATTCGATAGGCTCAATTAGAGCATAGAACAATACGGCACAGAGATAGTCTTGTGGTCTTATGATCTAATCTCATTGTCCTGCAGCTATTTTTATCTTTGTTTACTCCATTATAAAGCAATTTTCTATTTTGCTCGCCTACCTTTGGTCAATAGCAATAGAGA